AAAGTTGTTTCATAAAAAATAAATAATTAGGTTAAAACCATACACTAAAATATATTAATTTTATTATGATAATGCAAAAAACGTGACCTGAACTAAATATAGTCTTTTTTTTAAATGGCTACGCGATAAATACAACCCCCTCCATTTAATATATTTTCTTATTGAAAGTTATAAAAAAGCTTTTGAAAAACAACTTGAGTTATCTTTTAAAATAGAATTTACATCAATTAATTTCTTGCGGAATTCTCAATATTTGTCAAAATTCAAATATTTTAATGTTTTCATATGCAAATATGAAAAATAAATACATAAGACAGAAAAAAGTTAAAAGCATCTCATGCAATATAAAAATATTTGATTAAAGAAAGATCAAAATTTCAAAGTTATTTCAGTCATCGAAAAAGCTGTGATTAAGTTGTCAAAACAAAACATAGATGTGGTCAAAAATAGTGTGCACTTTTAGATGTCATCAGAAATAGTGTGCACATCTTTCCTGACCAAAACTGTATAAAAACAATTAGAAATAATTATTAATAAATCATACAATTTTAGGATTTATTATTAAAAATCTCAAGGTATAGGTGATGAACTTTGAGTTTATTTGAAGAAACCTTTTGTTTTTGTGGCAACTTTAGAAGGGGTGTTCTTGAAATAGCAGGCTTGGCCAGGAAGATCTACGATTTCACGCCATATGACCACACAAATACTATTTGATTTTGAAAACTTGACCAAGGCTGTTAATATGTTTCAAAAATTTGTATACATTTTAAAAATGCGCTGAAAATATATTTTAACTTAACTATGAAGAAACTATAAAAAAAAACATATCATACAAGAAGAAAATAAATCGTAGGAAAAAAATAACGAAAAATAAAAATAACCTAACTATAACTGAAATAAAAAAATTTTAAACTTGACTAAAATAAATAATTTACAAAAACAATAAGATTATTTAAGTTATATTACGAATATATAACTTTTATTTGTTTATTTTTACTATTGTTTTTATAATATAATATAATGAGAAATCCTTTTTAAATAACGTAACAACTTACATCAAAAAATTGTTTGATAGATGCGAACATTTAAAAGTTTAAAAAAAAAAAGATTCTTAACACAGGCTTGGTCGGGAAGCGGGTGCGATCGCACTTGATAACTGACCACGGAAATAATATTTAGTTGCGAAAAACCGGCCAGATTTTATAGTCATTTTGAGAACATTTCAAAAACAAATAAAAAAGCGCAACAAGATTAACTGGACCGATAAGAGACAGTTAAAAAAAGGAAATTAGCTTTTAACGCGAAAAAACTTTAAGCAAAATAAATTTATTAGAGAAATTATTTTTAAAACGCCGCTCTTTTATAATTTTTTAAATAAAATTAAGCGACATTTTTTATATAAAGTAACAACTATAAAGAAACAAATGTTCTTCGATTTATCAGAGTATATATAATTTTTATTTATATACTTATGCCTTATTTCCAGTTGCGGATTGAGAAGGTGGGGTGGGGGGTAGTAGAGCTATAGCCCCGGGACTCATGTTAGGGGAAATATTCAAGAGGACCATTCGGTATTTTTTTTAGTCATTTTTACGCTGTGGCACATAAAAAAGGCTGCCAAAATAATGGAGCCCCCGGCCCTGAAAAGTCCAACAAGATTCAACCAATAAAACTAACGCTAGATGATTTATTTATAAATAAAAGTTTTTTCAATAACTATTTTATGCTTCGTGTATTTTAAAAAGTTTAACACATTTGAAACAATTCTTCTTAGTAAGATGAACAAATGAAATAATTAAATCATTGAGTTACTCTATAAATTCAATTAGCTAGATAGAAATTAACTAAAAACATTAAATTACTTTGTGAGGAGGAAGCGGAATTGCTTCACAATAACACTGATGATGTTTAGTGAGTGGGCTTTATAATTTTAATTAGTATTTAAAACAGAAAAAAGTAACTTCAAGTATAACGAGTTTGTAAGAATGGCTGAAGCAAAAATAATTAAAGTTAGTAAACCAATTTCTAAGAACTTAAAAACTTTTCTTTCTTTGGGTAAAGAATCAGTTATCGGGTACACTGACGAAAATGGATTAGTGGTTAAAATTATTTGTATTAACTTTAATGAATATTATTAATTTCATTGAAAACGCAGTTATTATTGAAGTTATTTTATAAAATCAATCGCACAAATTGCTTTAAAAGATTACATTTGAATAAAATACACATACATAAAATTGCATAGATAAAAATACATTACATACATAAAAATACATAAAAATATATTACATACATAAAAAATACATCCCTTATATATAAAAAATAAGAATATACTAATAAAATCTATAGTATATTTACAAAACGTTGACAAGTTAAAAAATATAAATTTTAAACATTTATTATTGTAAACAAATAATGTTAGTTTAAAATATTTATAGCTTTGTAGATGTGGCTCTAAGAATCAAAATAATAGTTTGTTTGATAGTATATTCTTGAAATAATTTATGCTAGAAATCTCACGAAAACGTAACAAAATTCAAATAATACAATTTTTAAAAATATTTCAACAGAATACTCAGGACATTCGGTTAGTATTTTTTAAATACTCTAGAAATTTTGTTTAGTATCTTTGGAACCATTAGAATTAGTTGTTCGTAGATTTGGCGGATTTTTTGTGTCCGTGAATATTCTTTTTTTAATTTTCCGCACTAAGATGTTGGAGAACATTCAAGTTTATGTATATTTCCATGTAAGTCCGTAAAACAAAATATTTTAGAATTTACGATAAAATAAACTTATTATTTTGCGAACAAACAAGAAAACATACATAAACTTAAATGTTCTCAAAACGACTATAAAATCTGGCCGGTTTTTTGCAACTAAATATTATTTCCGTGGTCAGTTATAGAGTGCGATCGCATCCGCTTCCCGACCAAGCCTGTTAACAATTCTTTGCAGTAATGTAAACAAAACGAAAAAAAAAAAAAAAAAAAAATTAACTAAATTGTATATTTAAAAAGTTGATTTAACTTTTATTTTTATTTAAAGACATTTATAATTAAAAATACGTACTTATATAAATATAAAAAATATATGATATTCATTATTATTTTTGATAAAATATTATTAGCAGAGATTATTTTTGAGTGATTAAACTTTAATGGTTCTTATATAAAGTTTATTAAAGAGACCATTTCTGTTTAAAGTCGTCGCTTATGAAAATTGTATTTTTTATTTATAATTTTTATTTGTTTTTTTTTCAATTATAAAAAAATCTTATATAAATAATATAAATAAAAAATTTATTTAACTTTCAATGATACTTTAATTAAAATCATTAGCTACTTTATTTAAAAGTGTTTTGCTAATACAAAAATGTTAGCATAGATAAACATGTCAGAGTTATTTATTTTCATCGTAATTAAAAACCATATTTTTCAGCTCTTTTGTTAAAAACCATAGTAAAATTATCGAAACAAAATATTATTTGTGTGGGCATATAAAGGCTTGAAATTGCAGGCCTTTCTGGCCACGCCTGAGATAGCTCCTCCCCTCTGCCCCTAGTAAAAACTTATAACCACAACAATTTTAAATCATTACTTAGTTTGTATTTACCTTGTTTAGTTTTATCCAAAGATAAAAGAGTTGATTTAAAATAGCATCTTGTTATACATTTCTTTGAATCAAAAATTTACCAGAGGACATAAGTTTAGGTTACTTAAGTTATGTTATGAAAAACTATTTTATTTAAGACTTTAATAAACGCTTAAGATGCAAATACTATGCTATTTGTGAATATTTATTGAAAATTGTTTTAAGTATTTTAAACATATTTAAAAATTAAGATATTAGTAATAAACATATACGAACTTTACTACTTTTTTACGTGTCAAATTTATTGGTTGTAAAATTCTGTTGTTGTATTAAACTTAGTTACTATATTTATGTAATGGTTAAATGTTTAGTAGTTATTAAATGTATCAAATACTTTAAGCATTGCTTAATCAATATTTACATATCACATAATACTTGCAAAATAAGTATAATAGTAATTACGCTTACATTTTGTATTTAAATAGTTATTGTCTATATATAATATAATATATTATATAGACAATAATTATTCAAATACAAAACATAAGCATTTAATGAATGATTTACTATTATTTTAACTTTAATTTCAATTTAAATATTAGCAAATCTGTTCATTTAACTTTTACTAAAGGCAAATAATTTTCAAAGTGCTTTAAGGCGCCTTTTAAAATAAAGAGTTAATTAGAGTAAATGATTAAAAAAATATATATATTCATTATTATTTTTTTAGTTATACTAGTTAATGAATAAAAAAAAATTTTATTCATTAACTAGTATAACTAAAAAAATTACGCTTCATAAATAAGTTGCATTTTTTAAACTTTTTTTAACTTCACTTTTTTAAACATTAAAGATGTAAGTTATTAAGTTATTGTAATCTTTTTTTATTATTATTTTTAAATCTGAAAGAATGTGAGAAAAAAACCAAAACTTTAAAAAAATATTTTTTTTTTCCCTCTAAAGCAAAATACAATAGCGAGCTAAATATTAATAGTTCATTCATTCAAAAATTAAATTTGCGCGATTACTGTTTTAATATTCAATTACTTGCAATTACTATTCGATTATGACAGTTTTAAACATTGAACAAGTTACACCACAAACGTTCGTTTGTCCTAATGACAAAAATAAAGTAGCTAAAATAAAAAGAAAATTAATTATATACTATTGCATTAGTACTGAAACTTTTTTCTATTTTTAATAAAATAAAAAAAGCCAAAGCAAAATTAAAAAAAAAAATTTCTTAAGGGCCTTTTTTTGAGCACCCATACCGCTCTAGAGATATCAAAACAGCTCTGGTTTCGTCCCTATAAATCTACATTAAATTAACAACAAAAATATTTAGCATACCCAGATAGCGACATACTAAAAATGTTTAAAACACTAATTTTATCAAATTTTAATACCTGAAAAAAATTCAATAACTTCAGCTGCAGTAGCTGACCATGGCAAACCTCTAGCTTTTATAACATATGATTCTTTGCTCATTTTTAAAATCTTTTCTATAATCCAAATTAAATATTACAAATTTAAATTACAAGACAATGTTTTTAAAACTAAAATTTATATAAGAAAAAATAAATAAAAAAAGCATATGTATTGGTATACAAATGCTTACAATTCAATAAAATCAAAAAAAGGTTAATCACATAAAAATCTAATTATCACAGAACCATTAGAACAGCATTTCTTTAAATATGTGATTTAAAGTGTTAAACTTTGAGCTCTTTGAATATTAATATTTTGCACAATATAAAAATATAAAAAGCTAAAGTTAGGATGAAAGTTGAATTGGATTGTCTGTGCACTACACACTAATGAGTTACCATTAAAACATGGAACTTATTGGAAGCTTAATTGACGAAGCAACTAATCTTGAAATTTACTAAATTTAAATTTACAATCTTTTTTACTAAGATTGAAATTGGTGAGCAAAGTTAAGAAGTTAGATAAAAGCACGAAAACATGTTCTTTACCAGCTAAAGTTGCTTTAACACCAGTTACTAGATATTCAGAGTATAGTCATTCCAACTATTAAACGATCTGCTTGGTATGCCTTCTCCTAGTCTATTCTTCAAATTATGCTTTGTTCTGAAAACAAAGAAGAGAAAAGTTTCTGTGTAAATAAAATTCTTGAAATAAGAAGTGATGAAAATATACAACCGTTAGACTAAGAAGGACACTAAATATCAACACTAACGCAATTTTTCTTAAAGATCTTATTGATTGGAATAAAGGTTTTGAAACTTCTTGCATAACAACTTCAAATATCAAAGAGTATTTTGTTAAACCAATGATTATACCAAACTGGTGTTGCCACACTCAAGCTGTCAAAAGATGTGTAAAAAAAGTCACCCAGGCAAGAGAAAATGTTTTCAGAGAAGATAGGAGAGATGGTTGGGTTAAAGGACAAGTGTTATCTCTGAAACTAATGTCGCATAATCTATCCAAACAAAACTTTATTGGCTTGACAATGTTTAAAAAATAATCTTTATTATAATATTGTACTGTATTTTATTGTGACGGTAAATATGTTTCATGGATTTTTAAAAAGCATTTTATGTTTAGTTCTATAACACATTTTACCTTCTTTATCTCATTTTCACACTTTTAGTAGTAAGCTGGGGGAGAGGCTGTGTGTGTGTGCGGCACAACTCTTTTTGCTGTTTTTATAAAAATAAATTATTGTTTTGTTTAATAATTTAGATTGAAGTAAATAGTATACGAGATGAATAAATCAGCAGAAGATAAGAAAAATTAAAGTGTAAAATTTAAAGTCGCATGTAAAAATGTATTTATATTTTTGACATAACTAATCCAACTAATTCTTCTGCAAGTAGAAGATAGAGATTTATGAGAGATTAATGAGAGGCCTTTTCTAGTAGAATATATATTATTCAAAGAATTCATTGATTTTGGGGTGAAGAATGTATAACTGTAAATCAACTAGGACTCAATTATTTGTTGAATTAACAAGTAGTTCTGATAGGTTTACATCATTAACGCAACTGAACAGTTTAAAGAAACTTTTTAGTCCCTGTGTAATAAGTACTGAAACATTTACTTACGCAAATTGTTATAAAACTTGTAAATATGCTATATAAATATTTACATTTTGTATTGCAATAAATATTATCGATCTCTAATAATGGTGAACTCTCAAACTGTTCAAGGGGGAAATAAATGCTTTTAAAATAGAGCATACTAAGCAGATTGTTGAAATGATGAAAAAAAAATTTATATTAGAACTTGAATTACCCCCCAAAAAAAAAAAAAAAAAAAAACTCTGATTTAAAAAAAAGAGTTAAGCCTATGGAAGAAAATTCCACAGATTTCCCACCACTTAAAAATTCCGGATGGATTACAAATTGAAGATGATAATAAATTAAAGATGATAATAAAAAAATTGCGGAATTAATTAAAAATCTTGAAGCCAAGGTTAAAACAAAAAATGTGAGAAGACTGCAGTCAAAAAAAGAGGAAACACCAGGTCTTTAACTTTCCAGACATTAAATGGTCTAAAGGTGTTATAAAATTGGTTGAAAACAATGAAAACTCTCATAAATACAGATTTTATGATATTTTAAATGATCATTTTATTCAGCATGTTTCTTTTCCAACGTTTCAATTATCAAACAATGAATGCCTAAATACTCTTGACTTATTATTTACAACACAAGAGAATAGATTATTCCAAACTGAATCACATCCAGTTCTAGGAAATACTGAAAGAGGGTTTTGAAATTTTGTAACTTAGTTCTAAGTTACAAAATTTTGTTAGATCAATTTTGTTAAATGAGGATGTAATTGTACGAGATTATAGGAAAGCAAATTTCTATTCAATTAATAGATTGTTCTCCAATGTGGATTGGTTAACATATTTTAAAGGCAAATCAGTCCAATAAATGTATAACATATTTATGAACGCAGCGTATAAACTATACATTTCAGCTAAAAAATTAGATATATAATCAATGAACTTAAAAAATTAATAAAATTAAAAAAGACCCTTAAATTTTGCGACTGTTTTTCGGGGTGAAAAGTTTCTTCTCTTGTGAATGAATAGAAAAAAATTTGCAAGATAGTCAAAAATGAATCAAGAAAAGCTAGACAAAATTATGAAAAAAACCTTGTGACATCTGTAGTTGTTTATTCACAAATTTGTGAATAAACAACAACAGATCAATAACTCAATAAAAGCTTTACATAATGAAAATAGAATAGTGACAAATGACCCAAATTAGATCGTAAGTTTACTAAATAACAAGTTCCAAGATGTATTAGTCCGTGAGAAAGATTTTAATTTGCCAACATTTGCATCTAGAATCAATAAAAATTTGGATTTTGATATAATCTTATACAAAGATATTCTTAATAAATTAGAACGTTTAAATACAGAGAAGTTGTGTGGAGCAGATCTTATTAAACCTTTAATCTTAAAAAATTGCGCATATAGAATAGCTCTACTGCTTGCACATATATTTACAGCTTACATTGTTCTTAGTGAACTACCTGTTCAGTGGAAATCAGCCAATGTAAGTCCTCAATTAAAAAAAAAAGTAAACTGTTGCTGTTGAATTATCGTTTGATTTCACTCACTTCTGTACCTTGTAAAATTCTAGAAGGGGTTGGACAAGATTTAATAATAAACTTTTTAAACAAAAATAATCTTCTTTCGAAAAATCAACACAGCTTTGTTAAAAAAAGATCTTGTTCAACCAACATTATTAAGACATTAGATGCAATCTCGTATTATTTATCTCAGAATATACCTGTAGATGAAATTTACTTAGATTTCGAAAAAGCATTTGATTCAGTGCCCCATAAAAGACTACTGATAAAACTTAAAAGTTATGGGATTTCTGGTACATTGTTAAAATGGATTGAAGCATTTCTAAAAAACAGAAGACAAAGATGTGTCATGGAAGAAATTGTCTCATCTTGAAAGAATATATTTAGTGGTGTGCGGCAGGGCTCGGTTATTGGTCATTTATTATTTATATTAATGATTTGCCTGAGAACTTTATTAATATTTCGAAAATGTAAGAACTTATTTTATGCAAAATATGCCTTTAAGTATCACTAACACTGAAAAAGATCTTGGTGTAGTATTTACCTCTGACTTGAAATGGAAAAATCAAATAACTCTATGTGCAAGTAAAGCAAATAAAGCTTTATGTATGTTGAGGAATACATTTTTAAGTTTAAATTGTGAATTACTAAAAATTACATATACAACTTTTGTAAGACCGTTAATAGAATTTGCTGTATCTGTGTGGTCTCCATGTCTTAAAAATGAAATTAATTATTTAGAAAAGGTGCAGCATTGCGCTACAAGAAAGATATCACCACTAATTAAACTATGTTACGAGAAAAGATCAGACAAAATGGGTCTTACTACTTTAGTTGTTAGACGGATTCAGGGTGACTTGATTCAAATGTATAAGTTATTCAATGAGATTGAAAAAGTAAATTTAATTAATGAAATTTTGCCAAGAAATTATCAATCAGCAATCACGATTTTATTTCAAATGAAATATAATTGCAAAATAACCAGTTTTTTTACATAGGCATTATTTTTTAACACCTTTTAACTGGAATCAACTACCTACTGATGTTATTAACACTACTTTTGTGAATTCTTTCAAAGCCAAACTTGACATATGGGTTTTAAATAATGTAACTATGTTGAATAATGACATAGCTGCCTAAGTGTACTTGGTACACTTGCCAAATTATCGGTCACAGGTCAAATATATTACTATTACTATCTAATAGACACCAGCGCTTGAAATAATTATTCAACGGTTGCCGATCAACATCGATCAGCTGAAATAAAAAAAAAATTAAAACCAGATAATCAAATCATTTTTTAGACAATTACTTTTTTATTAAATTTCACTAAAATTAAAAATGCATTTTTTTTTTTTTTTTTTAAATCTTACATAATCAAATTGCTATTGCCATTTTAACTTGAATTATTTAATTTAGAATTTCAAATTAAGAATATAAATAAATTTATTTAGAATTAAAATAAGTAAATAAAAAAATTAAAAATTAATTAAAAATAATTTATTTATTTTTTTATAGTATTTTATTTGAAGATGTTCGTTTAAAATAAAATATAAATAAGTTTTAGTTTTTGCTGTTTTTTATTATAATTATTTTATTTTGATAATAAAACTTTTTTTTGCCATTTCTATTTTATTTACAATTATAATAAATTTTTTTTAAATTATTTTATTTAGATTTTAAATAAGTTGATTGTTATTAAATTAAAATGAATTAAGTTTATAATATAATTTATTTTAATATAATTATGATGTTAATTTAATATTTATAACTTTCTGTATTTCTATTAATCTATGTTTTTCTATTAATTATTATTAAAGTTTGACAAGCAAATACTGCCGATCAAATTTGATCGGCCAGATTTAATTTTAGGCAATCAAAATGTCAATTTTCTAAAAAGTAGCCGATCATTGATCAGCTGCTATTTCAAACGCTAGTAGTTAGTATAACCAAATAACATAATATTGATGACTCGATGTTTACCAATAAAGTAATAAATTAAAAAATGAATTGTTATGAAGTTATCATATTATATGCTGATCCTAACCCTAACACAAATTCATAATGTTCAAGATTCATAATGGTCAAGATAATGTTCAAGAACAGGAAACTTTTTCGTCGGATTTTATAGCCAATAGGTGATTGTTATATTTTAAATCAGCATTTTAAAATTCTCCTGCAAGATAACTGAAAATTATGGAGGCCTTAAACCACCTGAGATAGAGATGAGGAGCCTTCAGTAAAACAGCAAAGTTTTTCTTGGTATACATTTATTATCTTACTTTTTCAAAAAAAATTCAGCCCAAACAATTTATCATTCACTTTAATATAAACACAACATGTCTTTGCACTTTGGGATCCCTTTAAATTTATCATGAAAACTACACGCCTACATAAAAAAAAATTTCTGCTAATTTATACAAAATGTGTTTACTTTAAACATATTTTGTGTAAATTAACAAAAAATTGTTACATTATGAATAACTTCAAATCATTGATTTTTTCTAAAGCTTTTATTTTATGCGAAAGCTTTCAATAAAATTGTTTTAAGAAATTTTTTAATTATTTGAGGTAAGCAATTTCTTGCCCACCTTCGAGGGCTGTATGTATGTATGTATGTATGTATGTATGTATGTATGTATGTATGTATGTATGTATGTATGTATGTATGTATGTATGTATGTGTGTATGTATGTATGTATGTATGTATGTATGTATATATATATATATATATATATGTATATATATATATATATATATATACAGGCCTTGCGATGAATAAGAGCTGCGCGACGCATAAGCACGACGTGATTTTTGACGTCATTAAATTCTTTTTATTTGCTTTTCATATTTATCGACATTAACTGCACTAATTTATTTAATTACCGCAAAACTACTTTAAATCGTTTATGTAGAAATGTTATTATTTAAAAATGTTTTGGAATGTTTCGTTTTTTAAAATGTAAAAACATTTGTTTATTTTCTCGAGTTTGTCACGTTTTGTCTATACTAAACGAATAAAAAACATTATAACTTAAATTTAAAAAAGATTATAAAATATGCTAATATTTGATTTTTTTTTTCTTAAATATGTAATTTAAAGTTTTTCAAATAATTATTTTTTCTTTTTAAAAAGTCAGCGAGTAATAAACTGGAAATTTTAATATTGTACGATTAAAAACTATGCAATAGCTAATATTTTTACAAGCGATTTTATATAATATTTATTTATTTATTTTTATTTATTTTCATAAAGCGGCTGATAAGCACAATCACTCGTATTAATAAAAAACTTAAACGAACGTTTTGAATAGATTTTTAATGTTAACAAGGAATTTTATTTCTAGTAAAATAAAATAAAATGTTAGAATAAAAATCTTATAGGTATAAAAGAAATATTTTAGCGAAAAAATTATTCTTAAAAATTATTCTTAAAAATTATTCGAAAAACTATTGACGTTCTATTTTTCAGCAGCTGTTCTTGAGCACGCTTCGATGAGTTTCGGTAACTTTTAACATAAAAGCGATCGTTATTATTTAAGTAATTTTTTTGAGTTCTTTTTACAAAAATTTTAATAACTGTACTTTTTCATCGAATCAAGTAGAATACGTTTTAATATTAATCTTTTTTTTTTTTTATTTGCCCTCACCAATTTTTAAAATGTTTCCTCGAAATCACTCTTAAATACTTTAAATACGTCTAACAGTTAATAAATATTTTTAAATCTATGGAATAATTTTAAAACCTATCAAACCCCTGTAAAATAATTATTTAAGTTTAAAATCTAAAACTAAAAGAAAGTATTTTTGTTCAATTTTATCGACAACGTTGCTATTGCTGAATAATTTTATTAAAATGTTAGCTTAAAAGATTTAAACTTTTTTTTTTAATTTTTGAATTTTTTCTAATGAGCATATTTAATTTTTTTAAATTCAAACTTTTATTTCAACTGCATGCGGTTTTTAAAATACTTGATTAAATGTTAAAATAATCGTCAATTACTTCATTAAAATTCCGCTCAAAAATATCTTTAAATATACTCAAACAAAAAATTTTTTGCTCGACGCAAATAGCCCTAGCTACACGCAAAATCGCCCTTGGACGACGTAAAATTCACATCGCCCGACGCTTTATCGCAAGGCCTGTATATATATATATATATATATATATATATATATATATATATATATATATATATATATATCATTCTAGTCATATTTTAAAAATCCGGAAAATTATTTGAATATATATATGGAAAAAATCCGGAATTTGTTTTCCCATATTTTCTTTTTAATTTCACTTTTAGCTAAGTTGCTTTTTAATTTTTTTGACACTTTTCATAATTTTTTTATGAGCGATGAGTGAAAAAGTTTAAAAAACTAATATATTAAAAAATATATACCTCAAATTGCCTGTATTGAAAATGTTTTGAATATCTGGAAAAACTAAGTTTGAAAAAACATCCAGAATTCCAGAAAAAGATAACCCCTGATATATATATATATATATATATATATATATATATATATATATATATATATATATATATATATATATATATATATATATATATATATATATATATTTTGGCAAGTCATCAAAAAAAACTTGACTTTGGATAGTTGCTACTGACAAAAATAAGATGCGTGGGAAAATTTTTTTTTGTGTGTCAACCTTTGCCTCCAGATAGTCTTAAATCACCATTATTTTTGGATTTTTATGATTTTCATCTGTTTAATTAATAAATACTTCGATTATAAAATTTAATATTGATAAGTTTTTGTTTATGGATAAGCTAGATGGAAAAAAAACGTAAGTTTTTTTTCCATCTAGCTTATCCATAAACAAAGAGACAAGCTCCTTAAACGGAAGAATGCAAGCATTCTTCCGTTTAAGGAGCTTGTCATCCTTACTGATTACATTATTCGAGTTTATGCTTCAGTGTGATTTTTCATAAAATTGGAGCCCCAATGCTTTGTAGGGGCAAAACACTTGTGGCGCCTAATTCAGTTTTCTTTCTCGCTTTATTTCGGAAAGTGATAGATCTCCCCCTCCCTCCCTCACAACGGAGTGTTGCTTTATAGCCTGACTTGCAATGGAGTGCTGCTACATTGACTGAGGATTTAGTTGGGGCAGGCAGTCTATCAAATAATTACAAAAAAAAAATTTTCATTCTTATATATATATATATATATATATATATATATATATATATATATATATATATATATATATATATATATATATATATATATATATATATATATAAACTCATTTTTTATGTGTTTTAGTTCTAGTTAAGTTGTTTTGTTTTCTATTTTGTTTCTTTTTAAAATAAAGTCTAGGTAAGTTTTTTCAAGGCATTTTTAAATTTTGAAAACAAGTTAAAACGAAAAATAAAATAAAAATAACTTAACAAAAACAACAAAAATAAAATTTAAACAAAAATAAATAATGAACTATAATGATAAGATCATCTAAATTACATTTGTAATAAATAACTTTGAATCGTTTATCTTTATTTATGTTTATATCAAATATTATGCGAAACCCTTTTTAAATAAAGTAAAAACTTACGACTAACGATGGTTTAACAAACGTGCACATTTAAAAGTTAAAAAAAGATTCTTAACAATTCTTCGCACAAAAGAAAAAGTAATTAAATTGTTTATTTAAAAAGTTGATATAATTTTTTTTTTATTTGAAAACATTTATAATAAAAAATAAATACTTATATAAATATAAAAAAATATATTATTCATTAATGTTTTTATAAAAAAATCATTAGCAGTGATTTGCTACTTTATTTAAATGTGTTTTAATAATATAAAAACATAAGTAAAGATCAAATTTATAATAAATAATTTTTTCCCTTTAAAATACTGTTTTCAAGGTCTTTCTAATGATATAACAATCTAGTGTTTGATTAATTTTATGTCACTTACCTATATATATATATATATATATATATATATATATATATATATATATATATATATATATATATATATATATATATATATATATATATATATATATATATATATATATATAAACACACACACGCGTGTACTCCTATAGTAAAGGCTTTGAATTTACCATTAATGTAAATAAAATGGCTCTTAGCAACTCTTTGTCTTTAAAAATGACAAAACCAAGTACACTTCAAGTAAAAACTATTTAATTTCATTGAGGAAACTAACTAAAATTGCCCCTTTTCAAAACACAACAAAAAAGAAACTTAATAGACTAGAGTGTTTTTTTAATGAAAATAATACATTCTAAATGATTTTTTTTTTAACATTTTTACTGTCTACATACATTAACTGCCAATTAGGTAAAACACAAAAGGAGTATCAAATATTGAAATATTCAACCAAATAGGTAGAACTTTTTTTATTATTTTATTTTGATGTAAATTTGCCTCCCCAAACCAGAGGTGGCCATTAAAGTGGGTGAGGCTATTTTAATTATCATTACAACCGTTGTTCAACTCTTTAACTCCAAACAGGAACTTTGATGAAAAAAATTGCTGTGCTGAGAAACAAATCGAAACATGCAATAAGTGTGCTACATTAACTAAATAAGTAAAATATGCAAGTATAATCCCCTAGACTATAACTACTTTTTATACCTTTGCATAGTGAAGGAGGTGCAATCCTGTGTAGAAAACACTTATTGCTAAAAATTTTTAGTTGCTACGTTTCAGCCCAGAGTACGAGCCTATTTAGAGCAAGAGCTAAATAAATAGGTAATTGATAAAAATTTAATAATAAAAATAAATAGGTAATCAATAAAAAAATTTTTTTTAAGTTTATAAACTTTTTCTTGTCTACTAAATTAATTTTATTAAAAAAACATGGTTTACATTTTATGGTAAAAATTAAAGACAACAAAGCTAGAGTGTAGGTAAATCTGCAGTTAAGCAGCCTAAAATAATTTTTTTCGCTTGTTGCGCTCTCGACAGAGAAGGCTTTTTAAACATTAGAAATATTAATTGAAACAATAAAAGAATAAAGATTACTGCCCCATGCCAAACCTTCAGTCAATGTAGCAGCACTTCCTTGTAGCAGCAAGCTATAAAATAGTTGATGTATGTACTGAAGTTAATAAATATTCTTTGCTTATATTAAAAAGTCACCATATGGAGCAAGTCTTGTCACAAGATCACAATACGCAAAAAAATAAAATTATTTTAGGCTTCTTAACTGCAGATTTACCAGAGTCTATATATATATATATATATATATATATATATATATATATATATATATATATATATATATATATATATATATATATATATATATATATATATATATATATATATATATATATATATATATATATATATATATGTATATATATATATATATATATATATGTATATATATATATATATATATATATATATATATATATATATATATATATGTATATATATATATATATATATGTATATATATATATATATATATATATATATATATATATATATATATATATATATATATATGTGTGTGTGTATATATATATATATATATATATATATATATATATATATATATATATATATATATATATATCTATGTATGTATGTATGTATGTATGTATGTATGTATGTATGTATGTATGTATGTATGTATGTATGTATGTATATATATATATATATATACATACATACGTCAATATATATATATATATATATATATATATATATATATATATATATATTGACGCTTCGCTTCAGTCCCTTGTTTATTTTTAAATTCTAGTTGTAAGAAGTGCCAAATAATATAATTAATAATGAAAATAATCTAGATAAGCTAACAGCTATATAAGCAAAAAGCAACAATTTAAAGTTCGATGGATAACTTATAAATAAACTGTGTTGGGTCAAGTAAATGCGAAATTAAACTTTAAGTTGTAAATATAGATTTAGTTATTCATCAAGTTTTAAATATATTTAGATAAAGCACTATCGAAATTATTATTAACCTTTTTAATTATGTTCTATAGTTTGGATATGACTATTGAATTTTCTTCGAAGTTTAGATTAGACTCACTGTACATCCAAGACAATGCGATCGAAACAGTCCTCGACTAGTTCGTTCCGCATCGGCTATAAATCTGTTAAGTGTTTGCCTATTATTATTGCATTCGTTAATTATTTTTGATTGAAGGACAACAATCGGAATAGAACTTTAAAGTCGCCGTCAAATGTAAAATGAAACTCTAGAGTTTCTCACTTTTCTATTTATAGAGGTCTGTAAATGGCCTGTTGCTAATATAATTCCATTTGGAATTAACAGTTGGCCAACTGTTATTTAACAAACCGTTTGAATCGTGTAACTATGGAATTATATAATTATGGAATTATACAAACCATAACGCGTTATGGTTTGCCTAATTTCTGACTTAGCAATGCGCTTGCTGTCTGGGAATTGACAAGTTTTTGTTATATTACACGGGCGTGTCTAGAGAATATCTGCTACGTCGTCAGACGTATCTTAAAAAGCCAAATACAAGTTTTCCAGTTTGAATATTTCAATCTATGAAAAAAAGTTTTCCAGTTTGAATATTTCAATCTATGAAAAAAAGTTTTCCAGTTTGAATATTTCAATCTATGAAAAGAAGTTTTTAATAGCAGTCTTTGTAGACTTGTCAAAAGCGTTCGACACAATAAATCATGAAATCCTACTAAAAAAGTTGGAAAAATACGGATTAAAAAACCATACACTGCAGTGGTTTAAAAGTTACCTGTATAACAGACAACAATGTGTTATTACAGATAGTAATTACCGCACTAATTTATTAAAATTAACTTGCGGTGTTCCCAAGGTTCGATTCTTGCTCCTCTTTTGTTCCTAATCTATATAAACGACCTTCCAATAGTTTCTTGCAAACTTGAATTTATAATTTTTGCAGATGATACAAATTTATTTTACTCGTCGACAAACATCAAGGATCTGTATGGTAATATAAACATAGAACTCCAAAAATTAAATATATGGTTTAAAACAAATAAGTTATCCCTAAACATAGAAAAAACAAAATACACTTTATTTCATATAAACCAGCAAAGAAACACTAAAAATAGAAAATATAGTAATTGAGAGAACTCACGAAACTAAATTTTTAGGAGTTATAATTGATGAAACACTAAAATACTTTAAACACTAAAATATCAAAAAACATAGATCTACTTTTTAAAGCAAAACCTATGCTGTCGCAAAGTTATTTAAAACTTATATATTTCTCTTTTATTCATAGCTACCTCATATATGCGAATATAGTTTGGGTACGCATATAACCAAATTGAAAACTTTATATCAACGTCAGAAACATGCTATAAGACTAATCTATCATAAAGACAAATTTACACATGTTGAAACCTTATTTAAAGCAATGAATGTGCTTAACATTTATCAAATTAACATTTACCAAAGTATATTGTTTATGCTAAAATTTAAATTAGGTCAAGTACCAAACCATTTTTTAAATAACTTTTTTATTAATATTATTAATACATATAGCACAAGAGAAACAGGAAGCTTTATTACACCTTTCAAAAAAACAAAACTTTCCCAGTTGTCAATTTCATATCGGGATCCTTATTTATACAACAAACTAGTAACTAAAAATAAATCAATTTGCAATCCAGATAATTAAAATTTCTTGAAAACAAAGTTAAAAAACGCGAGTGTAGTTATTGCTGTTAACATCGAAGACAGGGAACTTTTAATACAAACAAGATTTTTAAAAATTTTAAAACATGTTATTAAGTCTTGTTTTAGGCGCCTAACTTCAAGTGAGTCCAAACCGAGCAATTGTAGACGTTCATAATAAGTTTTATTTTTAAGGTTCCTAATTTTCTTTGTAAATTTTTTTTGAACACTTTTTATTGATTTAATTAATTCAATTCGGTATGGTGACCAAACTGGAGAACAATATTCAAGAGTTATTCTTATATAGGTAGTAAAAGCACTAACGCATAAAAGCTAAAGTATAATCCCCTAGACTATAATTACTTTTTATACCTTTGCATAGTGAAGGAGGTGCAATCTTGTGTAGGAAACACTTATTGCTAAAAATTTTTATTTGCTACGTTTCAGCCCAGAGTACGAGCCTATTTAGAGCAAGAGCTAAATCTTGGCTATGGTCCGTGTGATGTATGGTCCGTGTGATGTATGGTCCGTGTGATGTATGGTCCATGTGATGTATGGTCCATGTGATGTATGGTCCATGTGATGTATGGTCCATGTGATGTATGGTCCATGTGATGATAAGAACTATATAACTTGATATCATCCGCCAAATGTTTTTAAGAAAAATTAAGATTGTGTGTTATGTTAAATAAGTCGATAGTATATAGTAAAAATAATGTTGGTTCTAACACACTACCCTGTGGAACTCCATCAATAATGTGAATTGTATTTGATAGTGAGGTATTGATGTTAACCTGTTGATATCTATTTGAGAGAAAAGCGTCGATCCAATTAAGAAGGTTACCTTTAATACCGTGTGATGCAAGTTTAACTAATAGTTTGCGATGTGAAACAGAGTCAAATGCCTTTCGGAAATTAATAAATGATTATCAAGTGCAAAGCTCCAATTCTTTACAGACTCTAAAAGATTTGTACACGTGGAATGTTTTTAGAGGAAACCATGCTAATTAGAAGTAATTAAATTATAACAAGTTAGATATTCTGTAATATGTGACTTGATTATTTTTTCTATGACGCGATAACAAGTGCATGTTAGTGAAATGGTTCTATAACTATTTGCATCCGCAGTAGCTCCATTTTCAAAAATGGGAGCGACGAAAGCAAGACTTCATTGGTTTGGTATAGAACATAACTTAAAGCTGGCATCAAATATAGAGGAGAGTATGCACCCATGATCCTAAAAATCTATCAGGCCAATTTACTGAATATATGTTTTTATTTCGATCTCTAAAATAACAGTACATAATAGCAAATTTTATCCCTTATTATAATTCAATAATCATTTTTTTACCAGAATATTTTAAGTAGATTTAAAATTATAAAAACTAAGAACGCTCAATTGGGATCATGGGTGCATACCAGTATGCACCCTTGATCCTATGTATGTATACTTGATTCGAGATCAAATTTATACCATGAATGTATAAGAATAATTTTTAAGTCATCAAAACAATGTCGATAATAAAAACCAATAAAGTTATTACTAATTTTACTACAAATTTATCTTTCTTAAAAAAAGAAAAAATCAATGAAAAAAATGTTATTTTTTACTGAGACTCAACGTTTTTATTTTAATTATTTTCAAGATCAAGTTTTCTTTTCCTTGTCATGAAGATCTTATTTTGCGTTTCATGTTTTTTCTTTTTTGACTGAGATTTTTTTTTATTTCCTTTTTTTATTTCGAACAGGAGTGTCTGTGAGATGAAACCTTTTTTAATAAAATGTTTCATCCACTCTAAAAACATTGCAACATTTATCCAACCAGATGGGTTTGCAACCCCACACATCCAGATGGACCACCATTTATCATACTTCCTTTAAAATGAACTCTTGTAAAAATAAAAAATGGAGGGATTGAGTTTCCTATTGCATAAACTGCACAACAAACTGTTACCAATGTCATTCTTTCTGCTGAAGTTATCCTTCCAACTTGTTTATCTCCTTTTTTAGCAATTACTTTAACTGGTTTTTGAACAGTTGTAAGACCTGTCTCATCAACATTATAAATGTTTTGTGGCTGAAACTTGTGTCGTAGACGAACATCTCTTAGATTGGTGAAAAGTTCTCTGACTGCATAACAATTAAAAGCAGTAGCTTGTGCCATACTAGTAGCTTTTTGATTTCATAAAGATAACTCATTCCTACATAACATAAAACCACGAAGGTATTGTTTTCCAGCAACTTGTAAACTTTTTTACGATTTTGGAATGCGCTTAGAAAGAGTCATTGCAAATTCATTGGCAAGTTTTCGTGTTGTTTTGGTTGACAATCCTTAGTGAAGTTTTGAAGCCCTTAAAAGATAATCTGATTAAGATGTTTCTTCCTCGTTGGTAAAGATTTGCATGGTAATGAAGTTAGGTTTGCAGACTGTATTTAGATTTAATTGACATTTCCTTACATATCTCTTAAGTGTCATTAAATTGATTCCTCTCTCTTTAGATACACGATAAATTGTACCACCATTGAGAACTGCATTAATAGCTGCTCGCATTTCATTCTCATTAACTTTACCTCTAGGTGGTCTATCGGTTTTTCTTTTTTTATGATACACCATATTTAATTGTAAAAAAATGAAACATATTTATATAGTTTTGCTATATTCCTAATTTTTGGATAAACATTTATAAAGATTTTTACTTACTAAAATCTTCTTTATTAACAAACACACACAGATATATATGTATATATATATATATATATATATATATATATATATATATATATATATATATATATATATATATATATATATATATATATATATGTATATATATATATATATATATATATATATATATATATATTTATATATATATATATATATATATATATATATATATATATATATATATATATATATATATATATATATATTATATATATATATATATATATTGAATACTTTACAATTATGTTATATAAAAGTTTTAGGAGAACAAAAAAATACAAAATAGTATAAAATCTTCATTTTAAGGCTTTATTTTAGAAGAAAAATATATATTTAAAAGCAACATGACGTATTGTACATGTTACTTTAAAAGTTAAACATTTTGTGTGAATGTGTGTGTGTGTGTATGTATAATATTTTCAAAATGGCAGCATTTAATTTTAAAGAATATTTTCGATGCAAAAAAGTTTGGTAAAATATAAATATATTCAAATGGAAACAAGTTTAAGGTTAGTTCTAGTAAGATATTGCAGTTCTATCTATAAAGAAACAACCCTAAAAAGATATGAATGATTTGCTGTTCGCATGCAGACAAAAAAATACACTTGAGAAATCAAGCTTCAAAGTTTAAAAACAATATATTTATTAAAAATTTACAATCATACACTCATTTTAACTAACAAAATTATCAGGTTTACAATTTTTTTT